GTCGACACATTCAAATATTGTTCAATGAAGAATAATGATGGCAAAGAAAAACAAAACAAAATTTGGCACAGCAGATTAGTCATAGTTTTTTGCTGCATCAAGGCGCGGTGTCTTACGTATATCATATTGCATCAACTTGTGAACAGCTCATTCGCACTGCAAACAAAGCTTAATTCGGATGACTTTCACCCGTGAAGGAACTAGGAATATGGAAGTTATTTGATGCATACGTTCTGCGCAGGCTCAAAGTCAATTAGGTAGCGATTGATTTATTGATTGATATGTGGGATTTAACGTCCCAAAACCACCATATGATTATGAGAGACGCCGTAGTGGAGGGCCCCGGAAATTTCGACCACCTGGGGTTCTTTAGCGTGCCCCTAAATCTGAGCCCATGGGCCTACAACAATTTCGCCTCCATCCAAAATGCAGTCGCCGCAGCCGGGACTTGATCCCATGACCGGCGGGTCAGCAGCCGAGTATTTTAGCCACTAGACCACCAGGGCGGGGCAAGAAGCGATTCGAAGTGAGGGTTATATTTTCCGCGCCATAAGTTTTGTAACATTTCTTCCATAGAGCGCAAAAGGTCGCCTGGGTCTGCATTCAGCAAAGAAAAGTACAAAGAGAGGCATGCAAATTGTTCTTTCAATTGTTGTGCAAGAGTCAATATCCAAATTCATCTTGTGTTTACATATATGCAATGCTTAGATTGGTTGATGTATAAACACGCGCCTCAACCAGCATCAAAATAAATTGAATGAAGCCATCTCATCGCACTCGTATTTTCAGTCATGCATATACAATTTCATCCTTGAAGGTTTGATAATCTTGCATAGTCACCCTAACGAGACCACGCGAGAAGTCTCTGAGACATATCATAAAGAACACCGCACCTTGTTTAGGTTAATTAGCATTCGCTATAGCTACAACACAAGAAACTTCACTTTATTATTCGGCTGTAAACACGTGTTTCGGTTGTTGGTCTTTTTGTACCTCTTTGTGACATGTGTGATGCAACCCAATTTTCTTATAAATGTTCCTTAAAACACGTGCGATAACCTTAAGTCATGAGTGAGTGTTGCCGGTGGGCATAATTCTGATTGATTGATATGTGGGGTTTAACGTCCCAAAACCACCATTTGATTATGAGAGAAGCCGTAGTGGAGGGCTCCGGAAATTTCGACCACCAGGGGTTCTTTAACGCGCAGCCAAATCTGAGCACACGGGCCTACAACATTTCCGCCTCCATTGGAAATGCAGCCGCCGCAGCCGGGATTTGATCCCGCGACCTGCGGATCAGCAGCCGAGCACCTTAGCCACTAGAACACAGTGAGGGAGGGGGGGCAGGGGCGGTGTGCATATTTTTTTCCTGGTCGAACTTCTTCTGGGCGATTTATTCCTACCTGAAATTACAGGGCCAAGGAAGTTGGTAGATACATATGCTCCTATGGACGCGCAGTGATCTGGTCAATGTATAATATTTCACAAAATTGCGCTTACTTGTAAAGCACCCTTTAAATATACCAGAACCGTACAATTTACTGGTAAACAGCGTCAAAGGACATCGATTCCTAATGCATTCATGAATTTATGGTCAGCGCTTGCACCTTTTAGGCAACAAACTTGTACTGTTGTTTTTATTTATGCTGAAGGCGGACTAACGTTAAAGCATATTAATAATAATTAAGTGATGCTTCTGAGCCGGTCAGCTGGTAGAACAGGGAGACAAGTGCAAATTGTTGACAAGCCATCACACCCAAACACTGAAGTTAGTGAGATGATCACGTCGTAATATCTCACACCTTGCCGAGTTCACTTGATATCAGAATGAGAAGCACTGGAACGGTGCCAACAGAAAGTTGAAGCGTGAGGCCCGCGCGCTTTTCGCGGCGGCTGCTGTGGCGTACCAACTTTTCCCATAAGCGTTTGCGCGACCCTTGTCTGCGCTAGTGTGCTTGAAAAGGGCCTATTAAAAGGCTCCTTTTCGGTGAAGGGGCGCGCGGTAAAAGTGTTCTAGAAAAAATATTCTAGTTCACTGTAGAGTGGTCGAGGCGTTTGTGAGTCTTACAGAAACCACGCCCGGGTGTACACGTGCACAGTTCGCAACGGAATACAGCGTTACCAACGCGCGTTTATCTCTCTGCGCAAGCCATTCGGTGTGTGCGCTGATGTTATCACCGATTCTCGTATCTAGCATCTTGGCTTTTCATCCCCCCGTTTTACGTGTGTGGCGTTGCATCCATCTAAACAACGCAAGAAAGTTGCTCCTCGCGCTCAAGTAAAATTGGAATGCGGATATGTAATCTAGCAACATGAAAATGCACCAACTCACGGAGACGAAGCCGAAACGCTGCACAACAACGACGCTTTTTTTTTTTAAGTAGGGGGTGGGGCAATACCAGCGTCTGTCGCATGCCAGACAACAATTTATTGCGTTTGAAGAGCCAAAGCCACAATATTGGTATGATCGAGGCTTGCCTTAGGTGAGGGCTTTGGATAATGGCGACTCCCATGGATCGAGCCCATGCTCTGACATCGCAAAGTACACAGTGTTCCAGCATTCTGCCTTCGTCGAAACGTGACTATCGCGGCCGGTATTAAGCCGGCGTCTTACAGTTCAGCAACCCAACTACGCAAGCACTGTACCGCCGAGGCGGACGCGCATGCCAGATCAAGAGTAAGTTTCAAGAATTATTTTCACATTTATGTCCCGAAAGGTTTCCGATTAGCTTCCTTGGTGCGAAAAAGAACGATGTGGAAATTGTGGGGCAAGCCATGCTACAGCATAGCTTTAGCTAATGTTGTTCTTTACTATACACAGCATGTGGAATTGAGTACAAGACCGCATAGAACAGGCATTCTGCCATTAACCTCGATTTCAACATCGCAACGCCACTATCGCTTCGTTGCAGTGGCGGGTTGAGAACAAGGCAAGATAAAAGTGAATAAAGGCGCAAGTTTGAACAACAACGATAAATATATAAATTCTGAAACCCGCAAAACAAAGGCCGGAAATGGACAAAAAACATATCTTGGTAGGTTTGTGGAAAACTATGCTCTATCATTAAAAAAAAGAAAGTGTTTCGTATTAGGTGCCCGAACACTGTGACACGATTATCAAGGACGCCGTATTGGAAGGCGCCGGACTATACCGACCACTGGGATGATTTTACGTGCAGTGAAATTGTATAGTACACAATGGTTATATCCAGGGTTTTACTTCCCGAAATCACCATATGATTATGAGAAACGCCGTTGCTGCGTAAACTTGAACCATTCTGCTGTTCTTTAACGTGCAATAATACCGAACAGTACACGTGCCTATAATAACTGGCCGTCAATGACGAAGTCCCAGAGAGAGACAGTCGTTCTAGTCGCAGGATATGCCAAGACACATAAATAACTGTAGCGTAATTCCTGAATTTCTTTTGCAAAAGCAAATAAAATGTAAAAAATATCGATTACTTCATGTAGTTAAACTTTTAATAATAAATCTATGCTACAGTTGGTTAGCTAGAGGCCAGCGCTAGATTTTAAAAACAGATACTTATCCTAGTTGCACCCAGCAGACAACACAGCTCTGTTTGTTTTCAAGTTCATTGAGAATGGACATAATCTCATGCGCGCTTATCTCTCCACATTTAGGTGATCGGGCTGCGATTGTTTTAAACTGTTCTCGTAAGATCGTCCACCCGGCACGAGAAATCGAGTTTATTCTGCAGCTAACGTGAATATTGAACGATCAGTCTGAAATTTATAGTCACTCATGTGTACACTATATTATAGTTTAATTGAGACCATATTGGGCAGTTAACATTTGCGTTTTGCATCTTTAACAACTGAACAGTGTTACGGTAGACAGATAAACATGAAAATGGACGGGTTATTCACGCGATGTTTCACGGCATTATTAATTTGCTTCGCAATATACGAAAACAAGAAAATAGCACCTTTGTATCCAAAAATGGCGGTGCCCAGACGTCCTACAGTAGATAGTCTATAAAAGACGCGTCCGCCGATGGTCACATCATTTTCCCGCGGTGTATACGTGCTTATTCTGTCATCGTAGAGCAAATATTGCTTGTACTTTAGGCGTTCCTATATTTGTGGGTTCCAGTTGACCCAATAAAAAGCTCTCAATCATTATGACCAATATCTTCGCCATCCTAACCACGTTATAATATCCCGCCATATTTGCCATGGGCAAGACACATATTTTTCATACCATTTGACGGGTTGGTGAAATGTTTGCGTGTGTCTCAAACCTAGTTAGGAGATTCATTTCTGTCGAGTTCTTTTCTCTCAAGGCACATGCTGCTACACCTTACAACCTTTCATGATTATTTCGTGCCAACCTCCTAAAGTTTTTGTGGTTCTAAAAATATGAGCAGCATTTGGGTAGGAGGGTTGAATTTACAACACGCTGGACGAGCGTTTTCATGTGTGGGCCTTAAAAGTTATTTCATAAAGTTGCTGCACGAACGTGAAGCAGTCCGCTGTGGAAGCGCAATTTCTAGCAGCAAGCACAACTCCCCTGAGCGTAGTAAATAGAGGACGTGAAAAAACAACTACGCTGAAGGGGAGTGAACGGTGCGAGACGTACCCGCGAGGCATGACACAGGAAAGAAAACAAATTGTCCTTGGAGCCTGAAAGGAAAATCTTCAAGCGTGGTGTGGAGTTCCTTCACTATTCCGCACGAAGCCCTGGGGAGGTTTTCTGCGCGTATGGCACCGGATAGCTCCACTAAACCCTGCTGCCAAGGGAAAGGGCGAACCGCACGCACTTCGTTGCTGTTTTTTTTTTTCGAGCTGTGTGCGGCATTGGCATTTAAACGGCAATCAGTCGCTCGCTCATCGTATCGCTACAGCTACATATCGCATTTATGCGAACGGGAGTTTCATTTGAGAAACATCATCTACGGGAACCGTCAAAGAATATAGGCGTTCAGAAAATGAAGTCCGTTGCCCACATTTTTCTGTCTTTTTTCGCCCTATGTTCGATGCGTGGAATTTCAACACTCGACCCACCAATCGTACACACAACTTCAGGATCGGTGGCCGGACGACGCTTGCATCTCGAGCACGGAGACGTCGATGCCTTCCTCGGAATACCATATGCGACGCCACCGATCGGACGACTGAGATTCCGGAAACCGCTGCCCGTGAAACCCTGGAAAGGCGTGTTAAATTCCACAAAAAAGACAATGGCGTGCTGGCAGACGGACTTCACTCCGCTTCGAAACGTGAGCCTAGTTTACCCAGTAGCAACAGAAGACTGCCTTCACATCAACGTGTGGAGGCCATCCGATGTCTGCGACGAAGCAGTTAGCTGCCGCGGAAAAAACCTTTCCGTGGTCGTATTCATACACGGCGGTGCCTTTCAGTGGGGCGACGCTGGGCTTTTCATTTACGACCCGGCTAATTTCGTCGCGCTTTCAAATGTCATTTATGTCACGTTCAATCACCGACTGGGCATCATGGGCTTCTACCCGTCCTCGACCGACAGCTTACCGGGAAACGTCGGCTTCTACGATCAGCTGTCAGCGTTGCGGTGGGTCAGGGATAACATCGCGAGCTTCGGAGGAAATCCCGATGCCGTCACTCTTGCGGGGCACAGTGCGGGAGCCATAAGTGTGGGACTGCACTGCACATCGGCCATCAGCCGGGGCCTCTTCAAGAGGGCCATCCTTCAAAGCGGCTCGCCGATCACGTTAATCATCGGCGTGGCCTTCTCGGGTTCGGTACTGTTTCGGGAGCATGCTGAAAAATTGGGATGTTACGACTCCGAAGCCGGAACTCGAAAAAAGATACCCGAGATCTTGCAGTGTTTACGTCGGCTTGATGCGAAAAAAATCTACAGCGCTATCGGTTCTAAATCTATACAAAACCAACTATTCGTACCAGATTCGGGAGATGACTTCCTTCCCACAAACTTTCTGTCTGCCGCGAACTGGAAAAAAATGCACGTCGACGAAATGCTTATCGGCACAACGTCTGAGGAAGGGGCGCTATTCTTCGACATCATTCGCAACGCGGCCCCGGACCTGGACTCTGCTCTGACTGATGATTATAGAAAGGGTGTCAAGGTCGCCCTGTACCTCGTGTTTGAGATTCCCCTAGACAAAACTAACGACATTGTGGAGCATTACTTTGGCCCTCCTGAAGTACAACATGACCAAGAAAGTGTGATAAGAATACTCGGCACTCTGATGGCGGATGTTTTGTTCAATTGCCCCGCGCATATCTTCGCGACAACAGCGTCGAATGAAGGCGTCGCCACGTACGTCTACAAGTTCGCCCACCGGCCGTCGTACAGTTTGTGGCCCGAGCACTACGGCCCGACGCACGTGGAGGAACTGCCGTTCACGCTTGGTACTCTGCCGTTTTTCTCAGACGAGAGCCGCCTAATGTCGCCGCCTTTGACAGAAGAAACGAAGGAGTTCGTCAAATCCATTCGATTCACGCCCGAAGAACAGTCACTCATGCTGCAAACTGTTGGTGCTTGGTCTTCATTCGTCAAGAAAGGGTGAGTGTGAACGTTTACGTAATATTGTAAGTATGTTGCCATTTAAATGAAAAAAGAAAGAAAAAAAATGTAGAAAAAAGAATTTCTCGGTGAGATGAGATGTGAACCCCCGTCCCCGCAGTTTGAAAGCGAACGTCCACACGGCTCTCCAGGCACGCTAGCAGACAATAGTGTAGTATAGTAGAGTATGGTATAGTATGGTATGGTATGGTATAGCTAGGTGTGGTAAAGAGAACTGAGCTCTAGGAGGTCATACATAACGGTGTAAGGATAAAAAGGTGGTGGTTAAAAACAAGTACTGAAAAAGAGAGGTTTAAAAAAAGAGAAATAAAGAATACAGGAAAAATATAGAAAGTCAGAGAAACAAGCAAACAAATAGAAAGATATAGAAATAAGAAGACTAAAAAAGATAAAAAAGGACAGCAAGCATAGCCATTATTCATGTATGCTACATATAGTGTAACAAGGGATGGAAATGCGAGACGTAAGGAAATAAAAGCTTAGCCAAGCCAGGACCACCTAGATGCCCACCAGCTCTGACATGTCCCATCCTTGCATGACTTCGTGCAAGATGCGTTAATTTTGCATACGTCATTTCCTATGTTTGTATTGGAATAACAAACTTCGCACTAAATATTTCTCAAAAAAAGCTTAAACTGGGGTAGTGGTGTCATGCATTAGAAAAGCAACAGTGAATGGGCTATATGTCTACTCAGTAAGTAAATTTTCCATCCACTGTTTACATTTATTTAAACTATTACATCGATGGTCAATTAATGCATTCAGTCTCGGAGTTCTATTTGCTACGAGTAAATGTTTCATTTTTGTCATTCCGTCTTATCTTTTTCTTCTAGCGCTGGACAGACTAAACAGAAGTATTTTGCCTCTAATTGTATTTGGCTTCTACCTGCAGAAAAATTCCACTGCTGGGCTCGAATGAAACGTGGCCCAAGTACTCAGCTGAATCCCCCGAGTATGTGATTATGAGACCCCACAGTTTCAAGCGAACAAAGCTCAGTGAACCATGCCACCTCTTCAAGCCTTTCCTAGTAAAGGAGTGAGTGCCAGAGTCCACATCATCTAGTCAACGCATGTTATACATCCGTCACTGGCTTTTTTTCTCACAAATAAAGCACTTCATGGAGTGGCAATTGATTGTTCTATAAATGAAGTAAACGTAACGCTAGGCTCAGTGTCTAATAAAAGGGCCTCGCTATGAACAATCTGTTTATGTTATCCGGAAAAAAATCACGAAAAAGCAGCTCTGCGCCACTGAAGAACGCAAAGTGGCTCAAAGGCGGCCGGCTAGGGAATGCTATTACTCCACCCTAAGTACTTCGTCTTTTCCCTTCCTCTGGACTGCGCCTTTAAACAGGCGAGTGCAGGAGCGGTCAACCGATTGAATATTTCAGCCTCGTCGGGCTCCCTCAGCTGCAGCTCAGAGCAGCCAGCGTGGTTCCTTCCCGTTGTTTTAAGGCATTAAGAACTGTAACAATACGTACAGATGCACAGCACTCACGGATGCAGAAGCCACATCGATTTTTTTTAGCATACCGACTGGTACCTATGCACAGCTACTAGAGATAACCACGTCATGTCGCGAAGAATCTGTTCTCTAAAATGACGTTGGCTGTGATCTACGGATTGAAGTGGAAATCGCCCTGATATGACTAGAAATGAAGGTGGTGGAGACGAAGGTGCATCTGTTATTTAACCCTGGATCGTCCTGTTTGAATCCTTGGGTACAAATGTACGTATATACGTATGTACGCCCGAGAATACGTGCAAAATAACACCAGTTGGTTTTAACTTACCAGTACATTTCATTCACTATTATGTGTTGCATTTGTTCATAAATATCTTTCAAATTTTCATTATTCTGACCAAAGCCAGCTACCATTCAATAAAAAGGCACCGTTTTATGAATGCTATTTTGTCGTTTATGATTGCCTCGCGTTTTGATTAACTTCATGCACTGACGTTTGTACAATCATAACACCAATGAATGTAATGGGAAACCTCTGGTCATATGTTCTTTTTGTTTGTTTTTATCGTTTCTTTAGTTCTCGGTGAATCAAATATACGTTATTGGGCACAAGTGCGCCCGCCTTAAGAACGTTCTACAAGTACTCGTAGTAGTGTCAGTAGATCGATAGGTCTAAAAAATAAATTCAGTGTGATTGCAGCGTTAGTAATGTTGTTAAAATACACAATATATGATACAAACAGTGATGAAACCATTTTTTTAGATTCATACATAGTATGATCTCAACTACAGAGGTGACAGTGTTAGAAATACCTCATATTAGCACTAGACAACGAGGAAGTGCCATCATGAGCATGTTTCGTTGAAAGTATTTGCAGCTATATACAAAGACAATCAGGTAGATTGCGGTCTTTCAGATATCTTAAGTTAGATACGCACTTCACGTCAACCTTATGTGGTTGCCGTAACAGTGGAACGATAAAACGCACAAGACGAATCAGTCAATTGCTGTCGCTCGCGCAGCACTCAACAACGGCGAATCCTCCATCTCAGGGCTTCAGGTAACTTTTCCAGAAATTGCAGTTCTTCTCGTTGGGTCCCCGACCATAGGTATATCTCTTCGGGTTCAGTTCCATGTAGACTTGGTTCTTCGCGGTGAACTCTGGCCACGGCTTGCTGGCGACGTCGGGAACTTTCCTGCACACAAATGGAGGCGTATAAAGTCACAGTGGTAGGCCAGTAAGTATCTTGCGTAGGTTCATTTTATGTGTTGGGCATCAATAAATGGACGGACGAGAAGAAAAGGGGAAGAAAACTTGAGCGTTTGAGTCACATTAACTTGCTTTTCTTTCGCTGCGCGTTGTTTTGAGTTTATTGCACTACGAAGAGCAGGAATGTAATAATAATATTAATAATAATATAATAATAATAATAATAATAATAATAATAATAATAATAATAATAATAATAATAATAATAATAATAATAATAATAATGTTAGGGCTTAATGAGACGAAAGCATGACATGATCATAAAAGACGCCGTTGTGGAGTGCTACGGAAAATGAAAAACGCGTCCGCCAAGGCCAGTATTCGATTTCGCAACCTGTGAGTGAGCAGTCGAGCCCGATAACCCCTAACGACTGTGGCAGGTAAACATTATGAATTAGCCTAAACTATACCGTTCAGCTTTCAGTTCTTTTAAAGGCCAGTCTGCATTCGAGTGCTGTTTGAAAGTCCAGCTCTAAATTGTCCCTATAAGTAGCGTTTTTCTCCGACTCTTTCATCTTACTACGCACATTCATGGCTATTAAGGTGTTATCAAATGACGTCACGAACGGGCTGTCAGTCAAACTAGTACTTTTAACACCCTCGGTTACAAACTGTTTACGTACTGCGTGATTTGTATCATGAATAGACAAACTCAGAGTAATGGAGCAACTTTTTTAGTCGCCTATAAAGCGTGTTGGTGTTTTTATACTTTAGAAGTGAAATTAATTTACTTTCGGGTTAACCTGGACGCTGTTTCTCATAACCAAAGGTCATTGTTTTCATAAAAGTCGTATCGGCTTTCGTTTAGAACGAATGAGTTAACAACATTCGTGGATAGTTACGGAGGTTGTGGAGGCTTAAAGTTCCAAAACAACTTGCCATCGGCCATACCATGCTGAATGCGCCGGTTCTCGTCTCGTCCAAAACAACAACACGATTATGAGGGACATCCACCGCGCTTCTTTATGAAGCAGTCAATTCTGTCGCTCGCGCAACACTGAACAAGGGTCGCTCCTCCATCTCAGCCCTTCAGGTTTGGTTACGATACTCCACTGCTGGCCCGTGGGTTGCGGGATCGAAACCCGACCGCTGTGGCCGCATTTTCGATGCAGGTGAAATCGCTCGAGGCCCATCTACGAGGTAGGTGCGTGTTAAAGAGGCCCAGGTGGTCGAAATTTCTGGAGCATTCCACTACTCAGTCTCTCATAATAATAACGTGGTTTCGGAACGTTACATTCACTGTGTAATCGACTATGAGAGACTCCGTAGTGGACAGCTCCAGAATTTTTGACCACCTGTGGTTCTTTAGCGTGCACCATAGTATTTTAAGTGCACGGGCTTCAAGCCCGTTGACCTCCATCGACAATGCGGCTGCTGCGGCCGGGATTCCATTCCGCGACCTTCCGATCAACAGCCGAGCTTTACAACCAAGCCTGTAGCCAGAATTTTTTTTTTTGGGGGGGGGGGGGGCACTTGTTGAGGGCGTTGAAAAACACCTTTCATATTATTATTCCTCGACCAAACGCCTCCCTTAGTCTAAATTCCATCGGGTGGTGGTGGAGAAGCTATAAACTACTTGTTGACTACAGGCCTGACTATAATCACCAGACCTCCTGGACAGGTCACAAAGAGTTACTGCCTAACTTCGAATCGCATATGATTGTATATCAAATTGAACTAGTAGGGGTGTCTAGAGCCGCTATAACAGCTACAGACCTCGAAATGAAATGAATATAAGAGATATCTTTTTTATTTAGGAACTTATGACATCCCCCTTTTGAGAATGTCAGTCTTCACGAGTCTAATATGCCGATCAACTAACGCGAAATACGATTGTACAAGAAGTACAGGAGAACGCAATGTGGGAATATATCTCACTATGGTCATCTCTTTTTATCATAACTGTGAAAACGAATACTTAGTAAGAAAAACAGGTTTACTGAATATGCGGCCCTATGGAGTATACATCATGGAATATACTGTGAGCAAGTAACAGATAAAAGATGTTAAAAATACCGGTAACGTTGCAGATAAAAAATGAGTCGCAAGTTAATTATGAGTGGAACGAGTTACACCTCACTCGGCAAAGATGGTATCATCAGCAGGAGAATTAGTGTGTAAAGTGGCACGTGTAAAATTTAGGGCAAGAACAGAGCTTGCTATACGAGTCGTCCTATGCGTTCACTGTGTGACTTATATACTCAACATAAAAATGCCCGAAAAAGAATTGTTCTTTGACCCCGGTAAGCGAATGCTTACCACGCGACGCGACACATCGCAGGACAATACCTTTGTTTTGCTTCTGTACAGAGACAACTGGGGAAATCTAAATGTTTCAGCGTTACTATAAAAGGATGCAACGTTTCCTTGCTTCGAGCCAGAAAGGGCATGCCAGCTTTTACCTGGTATACGCTTAGAATAGAACGACTTTCGGCGTACGGAAGGAACGAGCCCATTACGGAAAAACGCCCCTGTTTCGTCTTTGCTAAAACTCGGCGCTCCCTTTCCTGTTGCGTACCTTAATGCTGATAACAGAAAGGCGGGGTTTTGTTAGAATAATTTTCTTTTTATTTACTTGCAGTAGCTAATCTGTACTCCCTGTACAACAAGGCGAGCTTATCGCAAAGCGCTCAACAAGGGACGTGATGGTCTATTTCGGTGGCGGTCGTGTTATTGCGGTCGCAAAGGGCAGCACCGACGGCGCTGAACTCACGTGTACACTAACGGGATAAGATGTTTTCTACAATTTACCCTAATCGACAGGTGTTTTTTGTACAGTGTTAACCCTAGTATGTATGTAACAAAAACACGTTACAAGGACTTCTCAATTAGTGTCTTAAGCAATAAATAGATGTCGCCAGCATTCAAGGGACCCCTCACTGATGCTTATCCAGGAATATGTTATTATAATATACCAATTGATAAACATTCTGCGCCTCGGTTTTAATCTTGTGTTGTTGGTATTGAAATTAATTATAAAAAGATGCCTGTAGTTGCGAGAAGACGCTATGCCACATCCTGTGTGACTGTCCGGTCTATGTTGAGCAGAGACAGTCACTGGCGTCCTTTATAAAGCGCCTTCACAGTATAGACAAATTTATGTTGGATCTCATCTAACATGTTGTGAAAAATCACATTGCAGTTGAAGGCTACGAAACAACTGCTGAGGTTTTTGAAAGAAACAGACATGGACAAGCGGCTGTGATAGTGATGCTGCGTTCCCATGCAAGGTTCATGGACGCTTACTGACTAAATGCTTGTGCACGTGATGTGTGATGTGCTATGTTTCTGTCTTTCGCCTCTCTTTCTTCTCCTTCTTTCAATCTCCCCATCTCGTTCCCACTTGTAGGGTAGCAAACGGTTATCTTAAACTGGTCGACCTTCCAGCCTTTCCTTCTCTACCAGTTTCTGTGTAGTTACATGCCCACTTCTTTTGTGGATCACCATAGTTCTCATTTCATGTTTTATGAATATATGCTTTCTGGTTGGTCGAGGTGCCCTCAAGTCATTAGCTAAAGGCTCTTTTGTGTGGTATACATTTAGAATATTACCGTATAAGAATGAGCGAGGAAAAAATTTTTAAATGCCACAGCTAGTACTCAATCAATCTACTGTTTTTCTTAGGATTATGTTGTCACCCTGTACTTAGCAAGCTGCAAATCTTTACGCCCCGAATGTCTAATGCACTCGCTGCAGAGTAAGTACTCACCCAGTTTTCGCGAATGTTGTCCAGGTTTCGATCATAAGCTTCGACAGCTCTCTCTCCTGGTCGGTGGCAATCGCAGGGCTGCTGAAGGGAAGCCCCATCACGAAGAACACCTCGTCTCCGTGTGTGGGCCCGACCCAACCAGGCCAAGTACTGAACGACGGTCGGTGCGTGAAGTAGTAGTAGTGGACCTTGTTGTTCATGGACGCGAAGCTCTCGGCGAAATACTTGGTAGGGCAAATCATGGCGAAGTCGCCTACCGCCTCAGCAGCCTTCTGAAGGGCCTTGATGTTCTCGCGTTCACCAATGTGGCTGAGGTAGTAGTGACGGATGGGTGATACGTTCTTTCGTAAAAGCATTTGTAGGCAGTACGAGACATAGAGGTCCACCTCGTATTTTGTGATCTTGTGAGCCTGCTCCAGATCTAAAGCTCTACCGAAGAGATAGAAGACGAAGTAGCTGCCTTCGTCAAGGTTGTTTCCGATGAGGAGGTCTGCCTTGTGAAACTTCTTCTGCTCCATCATCAAGTACGGATCGTCCGGAATGATGTCGTCCCCGAAAACGGGGAAAAATGTCAACGCGTGCACTCCGAATATCGTGTTCGACATGATCAGAAGTTCCTTGCCATCGATCTTGCGCAAGCACTCAACCATTTCTGCCATGTGAGACTCAATGGTCATGTCGTTTCTCGCGCACTGCAGTGCTCGGGCCAACTTCTCCACTTTGTGAGGGCCTTCTCTGGTGTTGTCCGCAATGCGGAAGTAAGGGCTGCCGCTCTCCATGATGATCCTCTTGAACAGACCTTTGCTGAGGGGCGACACGAGGTGCAGGCCTATGGAGATGGCGCCCGCGCTCTGACCCACCAGCGTCACGTCGTCGGGATCTCCGCCGAAGTTTCGAATGTTTTGCTTGACCCACTTCATGGCCAGAAGCTGATCGTGAAGGCCAGCATTGCCCGAGGAATGCGTCGTGCCGCTGTGGAAGAAGCCCATGGGACCGACGCGGTAGTTCATGCTGACCATGACAACGTCTCCGCGTGCAACGAACTCCTTGCCATCGTACCAATCCCAGCCGCTGCTTCCAAAGCTGAATGTTCCTCCGTAAATGTAGACAATCACTGTCTTTGGAACGCAGCTGAACTTTCCTAGGACGCATTCCCGAGAAGGCGTCCACACGTTGAGATAGAGACAATCCTCACTCGAGTTAGCCGTAGGTATCGTCACGTTGCTGTTGATGTAGAAGTCCGTCTGCAGACAAGGGAACGGCTTCTTCGTTGCCTGGTAAACGCTGGACCAGGGCTTCACAGGGATGGGATTGCGAAACCTGAGCGGGCCTACAGGTGGCTCGGCAAAAGGTATGCCGACGAATTGGTAGAGAGTCCTATTTGCGGCGTATACCCTTCGGCCCTGCACCGGACCGGAGTTGGTTTCGACGATGGGACTTTCCTCTGTCGATATAGGCTGTGAAGTGGTCGTCGATAGGGACTGTATGTCATCGGGTGGCACGACCAGCGACAGCTGATCTTTACCCGTGGATGCCGGCTGCGCTGTGGTGGGTACGCCGGCTTCCAAAGGAATAGTCACGTTGAAAGGTTGCGCGAGATATATCTTTTCATCGGTGTCCTGTATGGGGTCTCCTGGCTGGAATATGTAGCATCTCGCATGAGCAGATCGCAGCGCGTACCCGTAGAGGAGCAGAACTACTATCCTCGAGTACATTATTCCTTCTTTATTTAGTGCAGCTTCTGAAAGAAAAAAAATATAAATGTGCATTTATATAAAGCATCTGTCTACCCAAGCAAACACTAGATTACCAGGTGCACTGAACACTCGTTCCATTAGTTCACTTCGCCCCATTAAGAAACGAAATATGACAGACAGGCCCTGAAAGTGAATAAATAACAAAACCAGTAAATATTTTGTTTAGTTTTATCGCTATATGCACTACCCTTTATGACAGCAATGATTTGTAGTATGTATTTTGTTCTCTAACCTTTTTTGTCCACCTAAGAAAACAGACAAAGTGATTTACTTTAGATCAGCACTGAGCAGTATCGCGATAGTGTCTTAGAGATACTTTTGAGTATCTTAAAGAAGTTAAATCACCTCCAGGCACAATCTTGGAGAAAACCCGACGTTTCGAGACTGGCTTGGTTACTTCCTCTCTGAGGTGACTGTAATGCTCAGGGAAGCAACGATTCTTCTTCTAGGCTCATTATTTTTTTATGTAGCGAGATGTATTTGACCAGTGTATTTATCTCTCACTTGTGAAATACTTTTCTAATGTATAGATTGTGTCGAGGTATTGTGCAGGACCTCCGTATCTCTAATATTTTTGTGTTTTTGCGGGGGGAGGATCAGCTTATGTGTTAAATGGAGAATAAATGCCTTATGATAAGCCGAGAAAAGTGCGCCACTGGTTGGTGACAAATACAGGGTGGCAAAGGCTTCCCCAGAAGCACACAATAGCTAAAGTGTCCTATCCTGCCGATGGAAGAATATTGAAGGCAGCGTTGTCGGCCTTCAATATTCCGCCGATGAAAAGTGTTATTCCTTGAAAAGTGTAAGCCCCCGAATTCATTATCTTTTTCGGGCAGCCAGCTAATCTTTCGTAATGACACTGCCACGAAGACAATTTATTTGAGAAGCTGCTGTTGCCTAGTGCCATTTACTCAACAATCCTCTTAGCAAAACACAACTTCTGTGTAAAAGAAGTGTATATGCGTTTTTAATGCAATGTTCGTTCAAATTCAAATATTTTTTCACTGCAATATCACTCCTTATTAATTGTCGCAAATGGCTTTGTGCAATATCAACATCCACGGCATAAATATTCGTTCCTGTATCCGTAATCTTGTACCTGCATTACTGTATCTGTATTTCACAATGCTTTGTGCGTGCTCTTGTGAGAGTATCACCGGAATATTCCGTTAAGTAATTTGAACTTCCCGTGCATATACTTTGATATCAGCATTGCGGCATACTTTTCTGAATACCTCTGCTCAGCCTTGCTTTGGACTTGCCTAAACGACTTGGCAAGCTGAAAAATTGCTTGTCCAAATTAGGTAATAAAAGACATGGGAATGGCGAGTTTGACGACTTATATTTTATTGCTACGCTAATGACGGTGGTGTAGCCTTACAAAGTTACACAGAATTATTGAAATTTAGAATGTGAATGGATTCAAGCATGTGTTTAAGGTTCCGTTCGTACAATATGCAGGATTGCGGACGTACAAAGTAAAGTCCTGCGTAAGCTTGATATGTTGTAATGGTTGCCGAGTGAACGAGGACATTCGTGACCACCGAGGAAGACCCGGGAAAGCCGATGCGGTCATCACGTTTTACGAGCACAGAAAAAAAAAAAAAGCCCTGGCTAAGGCTCGTCTTCCGTTCACTGTGAGTTATCCTTTCCCTACTACAGGAAAACAAGAAACAAAGAAAGGACAGCAAGGAATACGCCAAGATTCCTTTGAGCACGATAGTTCTGAAACTGTGTTCAATGCTGTATGCTGTGCATTTTGGCGCTGCCCGTTGCTGGTACCTTGCGTAAGCTGGTACCAGCTACCACTTGTCCTTGGCTGGTATCTTGCGTTCATGCTAGAATTATAGCCCAAGGACTTGACAGGCGTTATGGTCATGTTTGGTATCACTGTGGCATTGATTTATGCTTATATACGCAAAAAAAAAAAACGGAGGCAGAAGAGGCCGACTGGCTTCTCAGGGCAAGTGTAATACTTTCAGTACATCGGCACTATTTACAGAATGGTCAATGTTTTACTAAGAAATATGAGATAGCGGAGTGTTCCTCGTTTACAGAACGTCACGTCGTACTTATAAGTATTTCGTAGATGCCGTACCATACCCAATAAATTACGGACTGACAAGATATTATTTCTTCATTGCCTTTTCGATTTAAGCCTACCGCGCAGTATTTTGATACGCACGAAAACAGACCTATATCATCAAATTGCCAGTGAGCATACATTTGTGCTGCAAAAGGGCGCCAACTACCATTCTACAGATTAAATTCAAATTTATCTGATGTTATCACGCGTACACAGTTTTTTTTTCTGACGGTGCCTGCTTTCCACACAATCTTGACTGACGTCGATCACTCCATAAGCAAAGCGCACGTGTTTGCTTTATCTAAAAATATTGAAAAATTATCGTAGATTCTGTCTTGTGTAATCGTGATACACAAGCGACTAGCATATTATATTAAATTCTCGATTGCAAGCATGCTCGAGCACCTCTTCTGAATCATTTTGTTGTTCAGCTGACGAAACATCCCAATAGAGTGTTAAATTCATGGTCATGGTCAATTTATTCATTGAAACCCCAATGTGACGATATAGGTGTGTTGAAAAGTTTATTTGATAAATTACCGTATTTTATACAAGGTATACTGAATGTCCTTATAGGGGCGGAGCAGGCAGGCTTTGTTGCTCACCTGTCTACGAGTGTACTGTTGCACAATACACAAGTGTACCGTTGCACAATACACAATCTCAACGTGAGTGTGCAATGTGCAGTCTAGAGGCACGTGTTTTCTTGCAGAGGAACCATCGTACAAAGCCTGACCATGGAGTCACCCATAGGGTTTCAGTAATAAATTATACGTGTTTTCATTAGCATCGTTTAAAACTCGTCCGCGTGAGCATCTGCATTAACATCGTCGAAGGCTCAGAATGTACTACCCGAGTATGGAGCAGAGAACGAGCGCTGTACGGCAGTATACCAACGGAGTCTCATCGGCACACCGCCAACCTTACCTTCGATTCAAACGACTCGTGCTCACGTCATGCGCGGTATGGTGCTCCCCGTGTGGCCACCAGTTCTTGTCAACCGCGGCGTGCAGCTGCTGAGACGCTGTTGTTGGCACGACGATGTTGTGTCGCACTGTGGTCACCGGACTCGAAGGGCTCCTCGTCGACGACGTCTGGCGAATCGACTTTCGCCCGGGCGTCGGCGATTTAGGTCGCGCACTATTTAGAGTCCATCGGCGCTCGCCCACCGGCCCAGCGGCGGTCTTCCTGGTGGGAGGAGGTGAAGAGGCTGTGCTCAGCCGGGCAATGATCCCTCGCCCCTGCGTCGTCTGGTGCATGCAATGCGAGCAGCCGCCGCCTCTTTTTCTGACTTGGACGCACTGAGAGGAAGGCCAGCCTTTTGCCAGCTCACTACACAAACTCCTTCGACCTTCTGTTGCGGCCCTCGAGCGTACTTGAAGAGCGCCAGAACTGCAGCGCGGCGGATGACCCCCGGCGGGGGAGAAGTGAGGCGGCGCTTCCTCGCTGACATTCGAGTTTGGTGTTTGCAAACTTGTGTTTTATATATATATATATATATATATATATATATATATATATATATATATATATATATATATATATATATATATATATATGTATGTATGTATGTATGTATGTATGTGTGTGTGTGTGTGTGTGTGTGTGTGTGTGTGTGTGTGTGTGAGTGTGTGTGTGTGTGTGTGTGTGTGCGTGTGTGTGTATGCGCGCTCTCTTTTGCTCGGAACGGGCGCCACCGTGTACATGCCCAGGTATCCCTGCAATATGTAAAAAGAATGGTAGCACAGAGCCTCCCTGAGTTGCTTCCTAAGCGCAGCGCACGAATTGCAACCGAATCCTCGCGGCTGTCTACTGCGAATGACGTACGACATGTGGCAGGTTTCGCGGTCCTGCTTTTCGTATAGCTGGTGCACTCCATGTGACCTTCTGGCACATGGCGTCGTGGCACTTTGGCCTGTTACGGTAGACGGTTTCATGCACTTGTTGTGGAGCATATGCATATGGTCCACTACATGCTCAAAGATTCAGCACAGCTCGTTTCCATCACATACCAAGTGAAACGCCCAGCATACATAAGCGTCAATCTCGTTGGGAAAGCAAACGCGCGCTTATCAAGTTGCATCGGGTATATTCGCATTCTTGAATTGCCGTTTAAGTTTCGGCCGTTGCGATGGCTCGAATATTTAACAATAAAAAATTTATAACGATTCACGTTCAAGCATGCCCCGTGACTTTCAGAGATCACCTGTTAGTCCACGAGGCTGATGTAATTGTTTTTACAATCATACGTACAGGTGCCGTCAAAAGTTCCCAGGGCGCCATCTCCTGTATTCCTATAGCAGCTTGGCCTGGCCAAAACCCTTTGACTACCCCTTTATATGATGTTTTAATCGCTTGTTTTTCTACTTCTGCATGCACAAAAGGTTTGGGGCCCTCATCACTATAAAATGTGACTTATGCTTCCCGGTTCTTTGTCTTTAAAAAAATTGAAATATATTTTCGTGTGTAGAGAAAGGGAGGGAGACGAAAGATAGAAAAAGCAGATAGGTTAACCTGAAGAAGATTTTTCTATTTGCTACCCTGCACTGGAGAAGGGGTAAGAGGAAATAAAATTACATAAAGAGAGTGTTCTGAGGTCTAGTACGCGCTTTCATACGCATTTGCAACGTAGCATCCTGTCGTGTATTCAGCGTCATCGTCATCGGGTACTTTGCATGGGCTAGTGCACCTATTTTTCATCGTCGTCATTGTCTGGGCGAACTAATGCACAACGAACAAGCCTAGATCCAAAGGTGTTTCGTTCGAAAAAGACGCACACACAAGACTATGTCAAGTTCGCAACCCTGTATACGCAAGAAGAAAGGAATAATGGAGTTGACGAGAGAAACAAATCACAGCACACATGCAGTGCAGCGTATCACAGGTGTCGCTCAATTGTGCGGCATTCAAATACCGCAGCAGAACTCGTATGACTTTGTGGGCTTATGTACTGTGAGGACAGGCTCCCAAAATATTTCCTTCAGAAAAAAAGCCAATCATCAAGTCTCCTTAAGGCACATCGGAGGGTTGATTTGAATTGACTGATTTCATTTGATTCATTGGTCGCACTATATGTGATTGGAGACGAAGGGAAAAGCCTCTTGAATGGTTTGAAAAAGTACTTCACCCCCACACAGACAAAAAAAAAGTGCTAGCCAGATGTACCTTCACTTCGTTTTTGCGATGTTCGCACGAGGACAAGAAAGTGGTATCTAAAGGACTACAGGCGCAATCGCCTTCAAGTCGTCTTATGTGCCTAAGTGAGCTCAGCCGTTTTCATGCCTCTGAATTAGTGAGTACGGAAGCAAATAGTTTAACTCTAGTGAATGCTGTTATGGATGACGTTGGGAGAGGGCGAGGGCGCTTGTGTGGAGGGCGGAGGGAGAAACAGAGTGCCAAAAAGACATGGAGTTTTAACTAGATTGTCTCGTCTGCCCATTTACACGTGGAGAAGGGAATGAAGGGGTCAAGAGAGAGAGAGAAAAGAGAATAGTTAAGCGTGTCTACTGGCGAGGACCTTATTTCATTGCCTTCAAGATATTGAGGAGGGCAAGCATCCTTTTGGGGCTGATTAGCTGCAACGTGAGGCTACGAAGAACTTTTCTTCAGTAAAATGCTGATGCACTCGAACGTTGTTTCGCTTATATATAGACCAAAGAACTGGGAATTAAAATGTTCGTGCAGGAAAGTGGCTACAGATCATTTACATCTTCGCAGCTGCTGTGTTAGCGTCCGGCGCCATTTTCTTCTCATTCCGCCCCGCTTCCGCATGGCAGATACGACCTCCGCTGCTTCTTCCTCAAGCGTGATCTTGACACTCGGCCAGAAGACACGTGCCGGCTGAGGTAGTTTAGACAGCGTCCGTCATGAGGCTATGTTTGACTCCATAGGACGCGGAAGGCGGTGTGCACATAGAGATCGAGCACCCTGTCACAAGCCAGCCATCGTTAAGAGGACCGCAACGGAGAAAGCCCGTCATGTGGCGCCGGGTCACTCCGGCGGAGACGGAACGAAATCCGCTTAATCGCTCCAACAGCGTCCGATGGCTAAGCGGCGTTTTCACGGTTCGTGACGTGTTCTCGTATTTCCTTCTGCGTCCCCGTGAAAATGCCTTTTTTTATTTATTGCTTCCCTTCCAGACTAGGGCACGTCGACGGGATCTTCTCGATTGACCCAAAAGCATTTCCTTGCGAGACGCGTCGGGTCGGGAACAGCACCGGCCTTCCCGGCATATCATCGTTACGGCCATAGGTCACAATCCAAACTGATGGTCGTTAGGGGCGCCTACTTTTTCGCCAAACGACCGACGATGTGGAATGTATACGTGGCGCGCCTGCAGTGAAGACGCCGGGTCCTGCAGACGTCCTTACGAGCAACACTTTCGAATGGAGGTGCTGTCAATGAGGCACATCTCAAATGTCCTCCTACGGAGTGCCCCTGTCCGCGTCACGTATCATTCGCATTTTTATTTTTCCGGTTCGACACGGTGGCCGCCTTTTTGGGGAGGGGGTGGTGGGTGCGAAAAGCAAAAAAAAAAACACCCTTGCGCTAAGATTTAGGTGCAGAAACAAACGTCAGGTGGTCCAAATTATTCCAGAGCCCCGACTACGGTGTGTCATAGAGTGCTACTGTGGTTTTGGCGCGTAAAATTTTAGCAGCTGTTAGTTTTGTGATACACTTGCACGATCATCTCCTCACAACTTATTAGAGCGTCTGCCGTTGTTTGTCTGAGTGACAATGGTGGAAGAAGAGGTGATTGAAGGTGTTTGCCACGGACAGCATTTGCCACGGACAGCATTTGCCACGGACAGGTGAACCGAGCAGAATCATCGTGTGGTCCTTCAATCTTTTTTGTCGGTGATTCACCAATGTTTCGCAATGTGCATCGATCTCAATAGGCATTTGCATTTAGTTTGCTGCTGCTGCTGCTGCTGCTGCCGCCGCTGCTGCTGCTCGTTAGGCAGCAGGCGCCCACGAGCAACAGCAGGCGCCCCTAACAATGCTGCTGCTGCTGTTCCCAGCAGCAGCAGCAGCAGTTATGAAGTAACCGAACGTAATGACGTCGTGAAGTGTGAAGTAATCCAGTGTGGAAGTAACACAATAACACAGCTTTGTGTACCCAATAATTCACCCTACACAAACGTGTTCACCCATCTAACATTCAGTTACAGAACCCTAAACAATGAGGCACGGCCAACTATTTCCGAACTACCTCATGTAACACAAAATCATACGATTCGCGAATCTTCATAAACATTTTTTGAACGTTCACGTGTCTTAATATGCCGTATTTTGAAGTGTTGCGTCCGTGTTCGTTGTATCATTAATGTGCAGCTGTGCGAACGACACCTTATTTTGAGGCTCTCTCACTCTACCCAAGTTGTGTCTGCGCGAATCTGCCAATATACAATTTTGACCTGTACATTACGCTTCTGGTATATTAATACCGTGCTTCAAGACTTTTAATAGTGTTCTGTGATGGCGCTTTGCACCAAGCGAAATGCCCTCAGCTTTGTTAGGTCATCCGACATTACTTGTACTTCAGCGATTTATTTTTATTTTCATAAGCAGGACAGTTTATCATGCTTTCTTTTAAGGGTGGCGTCAGGAGAGGGTTGGGGATTTTGTGGCTGCCTCATTTTGTACGCATCTGTCATGAGGAGGAGGAGGAAGAAAGTTTAAGCGGAAAGACAGGGAGGTTAGCCAGTTCTTAGACCGGCTGGCTACCCTGTGCTGGGGAAAGGGGTGAGGGGAATGATAGATGTTAAAAAGAAATGTGGCATGAAGTGGTCATGTATGCCTTCGAACTATTTGGCAATGTGCACATAAACGAAAAAAAAATCTTTCAAAATTGTTAAACAATGTGAACTATATTTCGCTTGATTTTAAGGAAAGACTGTGGTGCATGCAGTAGTGCGGCTTTTTTAGCACGTAAGGGGTTACAATTATTCGCAGCCCAGCTGTTTTAGATTTTTTCTTGGGTTTAACGTCACAAAACCACCATATTAGTATGAGAGACACCGTAGTGGCGGGCTCCGGCAATTTCGACCACCTGGGGTTCTTTAACGTGGACTCAAATCTGAGTACACGGGCCTACAGCATTTTTGTCTCCATCAAAAATGCAGACGCCGCAGCAGGGATTCAATCCCGCGACCTGCGTGTCAGCATCTGAGGGTATACTTTAGCCACTTGACCATGCACCGCAGCGGGGCACCTCTTTGAGATGTGAATGGTATCTCGTTACGATGGAAGATGCCACGTGGGGATTTTCTATATAGGGAGAAAATGAAGAAGAAAAAAACCATTCCAAGCTGTTTACATGTTGCGAAAGTAAATCTGTTTACCAAACATACAAG